TAGTTCTCTTGGGAGTCCCTGGGCGACACGGGATCACAGTGCCTGGGAACTGACTCAGTGGGAACTGACGGCAGCAGTTTGCTCAGGATTTATGCCTCCGAGCTGCCTGTTAGTGTCCCCTGGAGGATTCATCTGAAACACTGGGGCCCTGGCCGCTCCCCAGACGTTCTGGTTTGATTCTTCGAGCATCGGGGCAACACGTGCATTGAAACCTGCCCAGAGGAGTCTGACAGGAGGCCAACGTTAAGAACCTCTGGCCTTGGTTTTGCTCTGAGTTGTATCGCTTTAGCAAGATTGACTCCCCCAAGAAAATAACTAAAAATTCATAGATATTTTGAATTCATTTATTTATTCATTTCACAAGGCTGAATGGAATCTGGAAAAGAAAAGAAAAAGACAGATGGATCGCTAGGTTGCCTCTCTCTCGTGATTTTGCACAGTGTGGGCCACGTGCTTTCTTATTACTTAAGCAGCACCACTCACTGTGTCTCTGGTGCTGGGGACAGAAGGAACAGCTCCATCATGAAACGCCCGCTTGTGAGCCGCACAAACACCATGGACGAGTGGTGGGATTTTTTGTGGGACTTAGACTCTAGCTGCTTGTAAGCCAGACAGGGTGGAAGTCAGTCTCCCAGAGATCTGGCCCGGCCCACGGGGCAGGCAGGAGAAACGTGGCACTGACTGGGAGTCACGCAGGTTTCTTGTGATTACACACACTAATCGTTCTGTGCTTGAACTTTGGTAAGGACAGCTGGTTGCTGGCTTGCTGTGTCCAGCTCTTTCCAGGTGTGGGTGGTAAAGGACACCTTTGACATCTCAGAACCACGCTGCCATTGCTTGTGCTCTCCCTTACCTGTCGGCCACTGTGATGAGTTCCTTCTCCATGGTCCTCACGATAACCCTGTGCGGATGTGAGAAAAGCTAGACTTGATGAAGTCAGAAAGCTTCCACGGTCACACAGCTCAGAGGCCAAGCTGGAATCCATGCATAGATCGGACTCTTTCCCGAAAGAAGAAATGACAGCAACTGAGTCCCCTTGGGTGGCCGAGTGCTTCCTCTTACACAGGACAGCCGCCCTGGTCTCTGGCTTCCTCGGAGTTGGCTGTGTTAAGGTAGTGCGGCTTCATCCCGGTGTAGGAGTCTTGGCTGAAGGTTGTACCCGTGGGCTGCTCACTCATTCCCTTTGGAGTGAGGACTGCTCTCTTTCATGAGGAGCTGTGTTCTCAGCAAGGAGCCCTGGTGGCACAGTGGTTAAGTGCTCAGCTGCTAACTGAAAAGGTAGCAGTTCAAACCCACCAGCCATCCAGCAGGAGAAAGGTGAAGCAGTGTCCTCCTATGAAGATTGACGGCCGTGGAAACCCTATGGGGGCAGTTCTGCTCTGTCCTGCAGGGTCAGTATGAGCTGCAATTGACTGGACAGCCGTGCATTTGTTTTGCTGTGTTCTGAACACTTCTTGCCACACGTCAGGCTCGTTTCAGTGTACAGTGAAATACGGGAGTCCTGCGTGGCGTCGCACTCTCAGCAGGAGAGTAGCCAGAGTGTCCGAGGCTCCGTTCTCGGTCACCTGTGTGCTTTCTTCGGGAGCTCGGGAGGGTTCTTGGAGATGGGCCCATTCCCCTCAGAGAGTTTGCTCCAGGATTGTTGGCTGAGGAGGTCAGCCCCTTGTCCTCCTGTTCACACTGAATGGTAGTTGGTTTAAGCCAGGCTTGTCCTGTTGGGAGGTGTTCTCTGTGGAAGCGGTGACTGGGCTCATGTCCATGATGGGAACTGCACTGTGTGACTCACTTAATGTGGGTCTGGAATCCATTCCCAGCCTATTAGACAAAGAAACAAATTACCCCCCTTCTTTGATGAAGTGCGAACCAAAGAAAACTTGTTAACATCCTGTTGTTCTCCCCTGTCCCAGACCTCAGCTCCACGGTTGCAGCTGCAGCCATGAACTTGAGCTCTGTAGTGACAGAGTTGGGGTGTGTCAGGCACCCCACCTCCCACCCCCCAAAGGTACTTCATGGATAGCACCGTTCCTAGTGGCCTTGACCCGTGTTCATTTATAGAGGTGCAATTCTATGTTGCCATAAAGCCGCTGTCAGCCTTGTTGAGAATGGATCATTGACGTTATAAACCGGGGCCCTGGTGGCACAGTGGTTAAGTTCTCAGCTGCACACCAGAAGATGGGTGGTTCAAACCCACTAGCCGCTCTGTGGGAGAAAGGTACAGCCATCTGTTCCTGTAACAGTTGACAGCCTTGAGAACCCTCTGGGGCAGTTCTCTGTCCTCTAGGGACGCTATGAGTCGGAATCGACTCCACGGCGGTGGGTGTACATTTTAAACATTTAATGAATTTCTGTAAGAAATTCTCTTGTATCATTTCATCATGGAGCTTTGTGGCCGACAAGTCCTCACCCGTGAGTGTGTGCCCTCAGTTCAGCCTCCACTCTCGTGTAACCGTGATTTCTGGGAACTCGTTAATTCACGCTAGCTACTTGCTTAAATCTCACTTTTTAGAGAGTGTTTCGTGTCTTTCAGAGAAAATACGATGCATTCAGCATTTGTCAGAATTCTGCTTGTTTTCATTTGTTTCCTTCAGGAAATGAAATGTTTCTCTCGCATTAACTAATGAATGGGCTGAGGAATTACTTCTCACCTGTAGAAGAAGGACATGAGTGAGCAGTGTTGCTGATGCGGAGTGTAACCGAGCCTCAGCTCTGAGAAGGTTGTCTGCCAGTGCCCTTCCTCTGTCTGTCAGGAGCTGCCCCACTGCCCCTGGTCTACATCGCGGTCACGCCACTTCCCACGTATAGTCACACTCGCAGCCACCCCTGAACACTCGCAGCCACCCCTGAAGTGTTAGCCCTATAACCCTTGTTATAGGTGAGGAGACGTAGTCTTCGAGGGGAAGTGGCCAAGGCCACAGGTTCCTGCATGGTGGAGCGGGGCTTCGACTCCACAGTCAGCCCCTCACCCCTCTCTTCTCAGTGCCTGTGCTGTGTCCCCGTGCTGCTTCTCGCCCGCCTCCCTCACCTGAACAGCTGCCCACAGCCCCCGTGACCCACCTGTTTAATTCTTGTTGGTTGGTCAGCTCAGGAAGGCCTTCCCTCTGGACCTGCAGCCCTGTTCCCCCAGCTGAGCCCAACGCTGAGCGCAGCACCAGGCTGGGTCTGGCGTGAGTGCTCACGGTGTTCAAGAGCGGCCAGTACACACGTTCACAGAGACTAGGAGGGCCTCAGGCTTCCTGCTCCTGTGTGTCAGTCAGCCCTCACTCCCCTTTTCTGGACCTGTCTTCCTCCCACATCGGCATCAGTGGGGAGGCACATGTACTGGGCAGACGCTTTCCTGTCTTGGCCAGAGATTCAGTGTTGGCACCCTGTCCTGCTGGGAGGCTGTTGGAGATGGAGTGGAGCCAGGGCTGTGAGGGCTACATTGGGGAGCTTTGGATGCGATCTCAGGTGTGGCCACTGCCAGCTTGGCCATGACACTTCCCCTGTCACCGCTGACTCGCAATCCTCTCCTAGACCAGCCCTCTTTATTATGTGATATTCTGGGCATAACAGAATTGTAGGTGGCTAGAAAAGTCCCTCAGTTCCTCCAGTCTGGGTCTGTTCTGGCTGGACCGATAGTGAGCTCCAGACCAGAAAGTGACCCCTGGCAAGATACTAACTTACGTCAGTCCTGACTCACGTGCTGTGTGTGCATTGCCGTCACGTCGACTCTGACTTGCATCGTACCTGCATTCCCGTCACATCAGCCCTGACTCAACGTGTCGCCTCTGCGTCACCGTCATGTCGGCCCTGACTCATTTCTGAAGAAATATCCATCAACTGATGATTGAATAAACAAAATGGCCGTGCAAAACAAGCATACAGTGGAATATTAGTCAGCTGTGAAAAGTAGGGGCTATGACATAGGTGAACCTTGAAAACATTTTGCCAAGTCAGAGAAGCCAGCCATTAGAAGCCAACGTGTCATATGATTTCATTTATGTGAAAGGTCCAGAATAGGTGAATCCATAGACAGGAGGTCAGAGCAGTGGCTGCCAGGGCCCGGAGAAGGGGACAGGGGAAATGGCTTTAATGGATGTGAGCTTTCTTCTTAGGGGAATGAAAATTTTTTAAAATTAGCTGGTGGTGATGAATACACAGCTCTGAGAATATGCTAGAAACACTGAGGGGTATGCTGGGAAAGGGTGAGTTTTACGCATCTGACTTACACCCCAGTGAGATTGTACACAAAGACCCTGGTTGTGCCGCAGCAAATGGCCTTGTGCACACATCATCTCATCGAGAGCCGTAGTGGTCACCTGGGTTCCTGGGAGTGGCATTCCTAGGTGAGATTGTCGGTGCACACTGCCCAGTTCTTCCGCTGCGTAGGCGCCATCTGGCCTTCACTCCTGTGGTGTCTGAGCACCTCGCCAGCAGAGTGTGCTGCCACACGTTTCTCTGCCAGCTGAAAGGTGAGGAGTGGTGTCTCGGTGTGATTGCCAGGTGCCTTCCTCGTAATGGGAGCCGAAGTGAGCATGCTCGGATGTCTTCATGGCCCACTTGCATTTTTTTTTCTTCCAGACTTTTTGTCCCTCATTGCTTCTGGATTTCAGGTCACAGTTAGGAAGCGTGGCCATCTCGCAGCTCTGGAGGGAGTGCCACCTGCTCCCCTCCTTGGGGTGGTGGTTTTCATGTTTTACTTTTCAGTGTTGGATCCATTTGGAATTGATTCTGGTGAACAGCGTAAGAGACAGATCCATTTTTGTCCTTTCATCCAGTTGCCCCACGTTTTTGATAAAGAATGAAAAAACTAAAGTACCACTTTTTGTGTGTCTGGGTGTTTCTGGATTGATTTGGGTGTTTTGGATAATTGCACAGACAGCGTCACGATGGGAGGAGGAGGGGAGAGGGCTCATCTGCCACCTTGTCCATCACCAGCCGCTTTCACCTCAGGTGCTAACGTGGTCTTTTCTGTTCCAGGTGAACGAGCTGGACGGCATTCCGCTGATCCTGGACAACTGCAGCGTTGATGACAGTAACCCCTGTATCCTTGTTTCGGAATCCCCGAGCACGGAGTCACTCCCTGGGGCCTTAGCAGGGCGCACCCGCTCCCGGTACTCACTCAGTATGTATGGTCGGCTGGCTGGTTTCTGACAGCTGACCCACTTTCTTGGCGCTCCGTGCCGGAGTGTCACTCCTATAGACGTTGCAGTGTGGTGACATTCCAACCAGCATGCCACTCACGTGTGCCTTAAAACTAGGGTAGAAACAGTGTCTTCATGGCTGCTGGGCTGCATGTCACTGTGTCGGCACTCACACCGAGTCTGCAGCCCCTGGGAGTGCTCCATGGCCACAGAGAAGTTGAGGGGCCTGCACTGCCCAGCAGGAGGAAGAAGCATCACTGGTGCTGAGTTGGCGTTTTTAAAAGCCTCTGTCTGGTCACCCTCTGTCGCTGACACTGGAAGCTCTGGCTCTCACCCTTACTTGGGTTGGCCCCCCTTCCTGGTGGGTGCTCTCAGTGAACGACCTTACTTCCCACCTCGTCACCACATAGTCTCACTGTAAGAAGCCGCTCTGGTACAGTCATTGATGAGCAACCCGGAACCAAGCACAGCCCATGTGGGATCAGGAGATTGCCTGCTGTTTAGTTTCAGGGACCTCCCTGGTAAGTGCCAGGCTCAGCCCGGTCCCCCTCCGGTCACTGCATGGCCTTGTGCTGATGGCATTGGGGAAGGCTGAGTGAGGCCACTGTGAGGATTTTGAGGGTGTGACCCTACGGAGCAGTGGAGGCCCAGGCCAGAGTGGGGAGGAAGGGCGTTGTGAAATAAGTTACCGCACTGTGGTTTCTGTTACGAAGAAAAAGGAGCTGATGGACTTTCGTGTACGTAAGTAGACGGAGAAATGCCTGTTGTTTATGTCATTTGTCTGATTACCAGTAGAAAAGAAATCCCTTGTTTGAAAGCATTCAGCAGCTTTTAACACCATGTAGGGGAAGATGAAGGAACAAGCCTCGGAAGACCCTTTGTCAAGGTCAGAAAGGTTGGTTCACGGCATCGCATCACAGCCAGGCACTGTGGGCCGTGCCAGTTAAATCAGGGTTAGAAAGGTTGGTTCACTGTGTTGCATCACGGTCAGCACTGCGGGCTGTGCTTATTAGAGAGTGACACCCCCCCCATCCCCAACAGAAGGGAAGGCACAGGAGGAGACCGTCAGGACAGAACAGCAAAGGAAGGTGCAGGTGCAGGTGCCGTATCCCCGATAAAAAAGACAATTCGTCGCGAGAAGAGGAGGTCACCCCCGTGTACGTTCCCTGAACTGACTTCCTAGTTACAAGACGTTTTCATCGCTCACCTTTGGCTTTTAACAGAGACCAAGAAAGTGAAAGGTGGTTACACAGATGCTTCAGCGATGTGCAGGCAGGCCGTGTACCTCGCTCACAAAGGCTTTCCTGTGGTGTCCTCCTTCCTAGGTAGGCATTCCTTCCAGAAACATCGATTCCGTCCTTACCGTATGTTTGTGCCCATTAACCGTGCTGAGTGCTCTCAGTTTGATTCCAATGCATGGAGGCCCCGTGTGACAGAGTGGAGCTGTACTGTGGGGTTTCTTAGACTGTAATCTTTCTGGAACAAATTGCCAAGTCTTTCTCCTGTGGAGACACTAAGTGAGTTCAAACCACTGATGTTTGGGTTAGCAGCTGAGCACTTAACCATTGCACCACCAGAGCCCTCGATGTTATCAATATAGCCCTCATTGCATAGCTAGAGACATGGGCTTGTCAGAAGGGTCAGAACTGGACTTTAAAATCATGTCTGCCTGATCCTTACCCCTTTCCTGTCCTGCCTCCATATGAGGCACTCAGAGGAGATAGCACACATACAGAAAAACACTGACATCTTCACACAGCAGAGAGATTATTCAGAATTACAGATTTAAGAAGTACATGCAGATAGCTGGTTTTCACAGTAAGAGAATGAAGTCTTTGAGAGACCCCACTTTCCTCTGAATGATTGAGAGAAGGTAATGCACTCTAACAAGTTGACCTTGAGTTCTGGGATTTTAGTGCCTAAAGCCTCCCAGATTTTAAGGGCATAGAAACAATGAGCTGTGAGGTACCTGCCTGCAGTGTTAGAACGAAGGGAGCCTAGTGGCTGAGGGGTGAGACAGATACGTGGACGGGTGACAGCCTGGAGGTGCGGGTCTGAGATGTGACCCGAGGCTCCGAGCGCGTGTTGTTGCTCGTTGCTGTCGAGCCAGCTCCAGCTCAGAAACATAACAGAAGAAAACATCACCCAGTCCCACGGGGACATAGTCCACCCGACAAATTCAGCCTGTTCGCAGATGAAACCACGATGCCGATGCCCCATCCATGCTGTCCTGTTCCCTGCTCCTGCTCCCAGGCAAATTTCCCAGAGTCCATTCTGAATCCCTGACTGGATCTCTCACTTCCTGTTCATTCTTCTTTTTCCTTTCTTACGTATTTTTTTCCCTTAATTTTTCATTCATCAGAATAATACACTGTGTGATGTTTATGCCTGTGATGTCTATTCCTATGAGCATATAGGGATAACAGGACAGGTGCCGTCCCTGCCAGCTTCTCACGTGCAGTTACATGGAAGTCATTTCAGGCCCCGCCCCCACTCTTAAATCAGTCTCTTAACTGTGTCTCCTAGTAGTTGTTTCTGTGTATCTAAGTAATAAACAACTACATTGCCTGCATCTCAATGAGACTGAACATCACCCAAAACGTTTATTTGCCGTTTGGATTTTGTGTGTGTGCGCACACGTGTGTACATGTACGGTACACTGGATCAGGTACTTTGCCCATGTTTCCGCTGGGTTATGTGTCCTTTTTTATTTGTGATTGATCTTTATTTATTCTTGATATAAGTCCTTCAGTTCCACGTGTAGTATGGATATTTTCTTTCTCCCATTCTGTGGCTCATCTTACCATTGTCTTTGTAGCTTCTTTTAACAGAACTTAATGTAGTCAATTACCATTTTCCTCTGTGGTTTGTGTGAGAGTATGTGTGTTGTCGAAGAAATATTGCCCTAACCTAAACTCACAGTGATAGGATAATCCATGTTGTCTTTTGAATGTTTATGGTTTTGCCTTTTACATTTACGTCTGTAAGCCACTTGGAGTTGATTTGTGTGTGTGGAGTGAAGTAGAGGTCTCTTTATTTTTTGCGTATGGACGCAGTTGTCCCAGAACTTAATTATTGACAAGAACACACTTTGTCCATTGTAGTGCAGCCTCTGTCTTAAGTATCCAGGTGTGTGGGGGTCTGGTTTTGGACTCTTTTCTTTCTGTTGATCTCTCTACACATGGCCAGTTCCATAGTCGTAGTGAGTAGAGTAGCCGTTGATACCAGTCTGGGAAGTATCTTCAGTTTGTTTCTCTTGTTTAAGAATATTGTGTCTGTTTTTGGCTGTTTGTATTTCTGCACCGTCACTTTAGAACCAGCTACTAAAATTGAACAGCCCACTCACATATGCTCTTACGTGCACACCTTACACACACAGAGATTGCCACCACTAAAAATAATTGACAGTGCCCTCATGTTGGACTATCTGTTGAAATTGCGTTTTCTCAACTCGTGGTCAGAACTAACATCTTAATGAGTTTTCTGACATGTACGTGGCCTGTCTGCCCATTGATTGAGATTTACAGTTGTCAGCTTTTGTTCTTTTCTCTGTACTTCTTTGGTGCCATCCCATGGATTTTTTTTGGAGATTGATTTCTAGCACGACTGCGTTGTGCTCAGGCCATGTGCCCTTGTCCTGTGAGATGGACTGAGACTGCTTTATGACCCAGTATGTGGGCAGTGTTCCAAATGTTCACTGTGTGTTTGCGTTGGCAAGTGGTCAAGTTGGCAAGTGACACTGTTGAAAACCTTTACCCTCTTACTGATATTTTTGTGTATTTTGATTTATCAGTTGCGCAGAGAAGCGTTTTCAAATTCCACATTGTGATTGTGGATTTGTCTAACACTCAGTTGTCAGAGTTTCTCCTTTATATGTTTTGAGGTAGTGCTGTTAGGTGCAAACGGGTGAGTAACAGGTCCTGAGCAGTGTTCTGCTACTGTTGTGAAGGGACCCTCTTTACTCACAAAGTGACTTTTGTGTGAAAGTCTTTTTTGCCTCATATTAATATAGCTACCCAGGCTTTCTGTGTATTTATTTATTTATTTCTGGCTGATACTTCCCTGTTACAACCTTTTCAGTTATTTTATTCTTAGCCTTTCTGTATCCCATGTGTCTCGTGTAAACAATGTGTTGTTTTTTTCCTCCTAATGCAGTTGGGTGGTCTTTGCCTTTCAGAGATAGCATTTGGTTCATTTACATTTAATGTCATTATTGATGTATTTATGCTTAAGTTTCTCTATTTCTTTTGTTTTCTTTCTTCTCTTGCTTTCTTTTGATTATTTTTAACAATCCAATTTCTGTTACTTTCTCATTTAAAAGTTACTTATTCTTTTCGATTCTTTTAGTAGTTCCTTGAGAAATTACAAGTCATCCTCAACTATACTACAAAAATGTAGTGTTTGTCGATTCTGTAACCTTCTAGCCAAGTAATACAAGAGCTAGTTAGATAATACAAGGACTAGTTAGATAATATAAGAGCTAGTTAGTGCTCCCAACTTGACTGTTCCTACTGATGTATATTTAAGTTGTGTTTTTTTGCCCCGTAACACGTAATTGTGGTTGTTCTGTGTAGTCAGTGAACATAGACCACTTGTTTCACTTCTTACACATGTCTGCCATCTGTCTGGAATTCATCTGCCTTCTTCCTGAAGTCCCTCTTTTAGCATTTCCTTTAATGTGAGTCCATTGGTAGGAACTATCTGTGTTTGTTTGGAAATGTTTTTCTTTTTCCTCTGTTTGTTCTAATTTCTGTGGCAAGTATATGCCTGCTGCCAACGTTTTGCTGGGATGTCTGTAGCATATCAGCACTTTAATATATACACTTGCACCTGAAAGCACTATTTTCAGCCTGGTGTCCCCACTGTTACCTGTGCCTGGTGTCCTCCGTGCCAGACAGTC